TGTGTCTGCTCATAGAGCCTTCATTTATTAAGCATATATTAACTTACTTTTTCATGACCTCTCAAAAAAATATTTATACGCCAGATATGGCTGATGGGAGGATAAATGAAGCAACAGCTGTGATGGGTCTACCAAGAGTCCGTTATATAGCAGCATGAAACAAATGTGGATTGTTCTACAATTATTTGAGATCTAGTTTATCAAAATTCACACCATTAAATTTAAGTCAAAAAAACACAAGATAGACCAAAATAATGGTTCATGTCCAGTTGGATAAAATATAATGTAATATCTGGCTTAACTTATTTAGAAATTATCTTACAGAACACTTTGTCATATATAAGAATGAATATTTGCAATATTATTATGAATTTAATTTAAACTTTCATGTAGGGTTAAAAGTTGATCATCAGTGAAGCAACTGACAAGTATTTATTGAGAAATCAATTATCTGCAAGACCCTGTGGTCAGTGTTAGGTTAGTGATGGAGCAAAGGTCTCTGCCTAACTTAAGGTGATTAAATCCTTGATGGAGACATAACATGTGTTCCAACGACTAGATAACTGGGTATATACTGGAATAAGTGATTGTTGTGGGCTGAATTGTGGCCCCCCCCCAATTCCTATGTTGAAGTCCTAACGCCCAATACTTCAGAATGTGACCTTATTTAGGAATAGGGTCATTGCAGATAGAATTAGTTATGATGAGGTCATACTGGAGTAGAGTGGGCCCTTAATCCAATATGACTGGTGTCCTTATAAAAAGGGGAAATTTGGACACAAAGACAAGCACACAGGCAGAATGCCATATGAAGAGACACAGGGAGAAGACGGCCACCCACAACCCAAGGAGAGAGATCTGGAACAAATCCTTCCCTCACAGCTCTCAGAAGGAATCAACCCTGCCGACACCTTGATCTCAGACTTCCAGCCTCCAGAACTGTGAGACAATATTTTTCTGTCTTTTAGGCCATCTGGTTTTGGTCCCTTGTTACAGCAGCCCTAGCACATTCATACAGCGGTAAACACTACATTCTTGTCACAGACGAGGGTTTCTCAACCTGGGCAGTACTGACATTTGGGGCCAGATAATTCTATATAGTAGAGGTCCGTTCTGCACATTGTAAGATGTAGCAGCATCCCTGGCTTCTATCCACTATATGCATGTCACACACACACACACACACACACACACACACACACACACACACACACACCTTTCACTGGAACCTGCGCTATATCTGCTACTATTTCCAAAGAAGAAATAACTTATAGAAATTCTAAGGAAAACTAAAAAAGTCTAGCTCAGTGTCTACTTACAACTTTCCCAATTAGAAATGAAGTATAAGGGCCGGCCCTGTGGCTTGGTGGTTAAGTGCGCGCGCTGCGATGCTGGCAGCCTGGGTTCGGATCCCGGGTGCGCATTGAGGCACCACTTCTCTGTCCATCCTGGGGCCGAGTCCCACATACAGCAACTAGAAGGGTGTGCAGCTATGACATACAACTATCTACTGGGGCTTTGGGGGCAAAAAATAAAATAAATAAAATCTTTAAAAAAAAAAAAGAAATGAAGTATAAGACTTTCAAAAATATAGAACCTTACAATCGACAAATGAAACCCAAGAGGGAAATCCCGTGTCTTTCAGGTAAGAAGGGCCACATAGGAAGGCTGAGCTTTAATTGGAACCTTTATCAAACTATTACAAAATTACAACGGGATGATCTTATACAAAAAAACTCCCTCAGCCAACCTTTAGAATCAGAATAGCAAAACAACGGTTTGGAACTTCAGACACAGCTAACCTGAAGTGGGGTTATGCTGAAATTGAAGGGCAAGGAAAGGTCAATTTTTCTCAGTTTGTATATTTTTATAGGTGTAACTAGAGAAAAGAAACAAGAGCTACAACACTGTATGTTGGAACAGAAAAAAGGAATTACTGCATAATAATTCCCCCAAAACTCTGGAATGCATTATATTAAATTCTCCTATATGTTATGTGGTTCACAAACCAAACTTTTAATCCAAGTTCGGAGGACTGAGAGGTTTCTTAAAATCCAATTAAAATGATGTAAAAAGGTCTATCTACATTATGATATGCTCCATTTAGAGACTTATGCATTTGGCAGGAAGACTTTTCTCTTTTTATCTTAAAATAGAGTTCAGGAAATGTTGGTTTAATTTTCTCTTTGCTTCAATATTTTATGAGTGCTTCCCAATGCATAGCCTCTGAAAGCGTTAGATTACCGTCATGAAGCTATTTCAGATGATGTGGAGGACTTTACTTGCACGAATTCTACATATTGGGATTTTTATGGTTTTTCTTTTGTGCCTAGAAAAAAAGTTGTAACGTACAAAAGTATATTCCAATTCTTCATAAAAATACCTGTATACTGAAACCTAATATGAGTAAAAATGTCCCTCAAAGTTTAGTGTTATTGCAAGAAATAATTATTTTTCATAATCAGTACAAAATTTCCCTCTTCAAATAATGGACTGTTACTAACAGAAGGACAAAAACATTTTCAAACAGGAGACACCTGTGTCCTTACACATCCAAATAAGTAAAGCAAATTGTCTTATCCATGAAAGCAATTTCTCAAATTTGTCCAGGCTTTGTATTTCCACATCATCACAAATCCATTTCTGTATGAGATGCTAAAGCCTCAGAAAAATACACTTATAGAACACATTTACTTTTTCAGATCAAAGTAATAATTAACAAAAATACACTTCCTTGGTTTTGGTCCCTTCAATATACTATATTACTTTCTTCAAAAATCAATGTTTATATTGTACTTAGGTTTTAAACAAAGCAAGGAAGCACATATGTTCATAAATATGTGATAACTGAAATCTTATAGACACCCAAATGTCATATACTCTTATTAATTTTTTTATTCTAACATAAGTGGCATGTTTTAGAACAAACATGCTATGCTAGCAGGTTATTTTTTTAAATGCTCATAAGCACATGTTGTGAAATGGCTATAAATAAATGCTCATAAGCATATTCTGTTGAGCGGCTGTAAATGTGTTTTGGTGCACTGGGTACTGTTTATATGCTTATTTTTACATAATTAGAAGATAAAATATACTACATCGTTAATCGTCAGGTCCTCTCAGTGACAGTATCAACAACCGCTAACCCACTGGCTTGATTAGACAAGTGTGCAGGGCTCATAATTGAAGGGTTTCATTTTGATCACAAAAAGGGCTAGAGCATGACAGTGTCTCATAAATTTGGAGACGTTACGTAAATAATTAATAACTCCTCTGTGACAGTACACAAGTAATGAGCAGAACTTGACTACCAGGTTTAAATATCAAGTCTGGGAGTTGTTGAATATTGAGCGTCATTGTGGTGTTTTAACAATCGATCATTAAAAGGCAGTGTTAATCCAATAAAAGGAAATTTTTTATAAAGAAAAAAATGATCTGGCATGTTTACACTTTGGAAAATAAAAATACCTATGTCCAATGATACTAAACGTCCTGTCCCCAACCAAAAAAGGGGGGGAAAGATCATCTTGGCTTCTAAAACTTAACAGCCGTATCAGTTTCTGAAGAATTTGTTTTAGAAGCACAATTCACACATGCATCGCCTTTGCTAATATTAACTTTGGAGGTGTGCTTTTGGTTACTGCCGTGCAGTACACTAGAGAACCAGTCAGTGCCTGTCTTCCCGGCTCTCTATCACTAAATCCTTGGGCTTAACTTCCTCTCCGTGTTTAAAAATGGATTTGCACCCGTCGTTTGGACACTTGGAGTGAGGCTTGCTGCTCAGGTGATGTTTTGGTTCCCCAAGTGACAATTGGAAGCAGGGATTCACTTCAGCACATCAACTTCCCTCAGCATATCAAGCAACAGCCAAACCAAATAACAGATGTAGTCTGTGAATCCCAGCATCACAAAACAAACTATGGGGTCCCAGTAAACCCAAGCAGCCCTGAGTGCTAAGGAGAAGTGACAGGAACTGTTTGTGAGGGGTGACGAAGTGCTCTGAGTGATAACACTCTTTTGATCACGTGATTTGTTTTCTGTTTGCGCAACAACACAGTGTGTGTCTTTCCTGAAAGGAAGGACTTCAATATATATATTTACTCAAAGCTCTTAATTTACACTTCCTTTCCTTTTAATTGGCGTCCTGTGATCTAGAATTCGCTGGTGAACACAGTGTCTCACTACCAGAGCAAACTCTCTTGGCTGAGTTTGCAATAATTAGACCCACCGTTGCCTGAAGTTGAAGAGACATCTGGAGACTTGGCTTATTTCTTCCCTGGTGCATTCTATCCATATTTAGAGAGTGATTTTTTTAATCTGACGTATAGTCATATTAATTATCATTCCCCGAGCTGCAATTAGGTTTAATAATTTCACGTTAAAAGTGAAGTTCAAACAGTCTTGCCTGTAACCTTACTGAATAAAGAGGCTACACGAAAAAGAATTCTTTCGTGAAACCCGAGATGGTCCGAGCACTCTAGTTCACCAATAAGCTGGGTATCATTTACACAAGGAATAAAAGGTTACATGTCCTCCAAAATCCCACATTTGCTACAGGCATTCTTCCCACTACTCTTTTGTTTGTGCGGTAACTAGATACAGGTACAATGCGAATGAAATTAGTTTTCCCTGATGAGTGAGGAAAATAAATGCCCCAAAACTGCCCAAAGCCAGATTTTATCTGCTGTTCCTTCTTGTTCTCTCTCTCTCTCTTTCTCTTCTCTCTCTCTCTCTATTTCAACTGCAAGGATTGAAAACGATCCAGATTTTTCGAATTCGCCCTCACCTTGACAACGCTAAAATTACAAGCAGCAGTCAACTTTTACAAGATACCCTTATTGTGCAACATTTATAGGCTGCCAAAAATCATGCTAAAACTAATCAGATAACAAAGGCGAAGAGAAAACCTTCACCTGCCACATCGCTAGCAGTGAATACACTCTTTATTTCCATGACATTTGCTGGCAGAAAGAGGTTGGCTTAAGGCGGATGGGACTAACCTTCAATTTGTCATAGCGCTCACTCAAAGCTGCCACCTGATGATCTCGGTGCCGCCCAACCAGTTTACACAAGGCACAGATTAACTGGTCATCGGTCACACAGTACATATTCACCTTCTCATCCTCGTGCTCCAGGCACATCAGCCCCCGGATGTGTGAGTCCGGAATTGGCTCAATCAGACGATGGCCTGTAAAGGGCTTCTTGTTCGGGTGAGTGGCTTTCAGGCACTCATCACAGTAGGACACTTCGCAAGTGACACAGGTCTTCACAGCGTCCTGGGCAGGATCCTGGTCACAGAATTGGCAGAGGACTTTCTCGGTGGAGGTCATGGTGTTGGCGTCAAATGCCCGCTCTCGGCGGGTCTCGCTGGGGGAATTGGGCCCGCTCACTGATGCTTTCTGAAACCTGTCGATGATGTTCTGCAGGGTGACGTTTCGCTTGAGCCCGTCTAGACCTCGCTGGCTGAGCGTGATGACATGTCGGCAGGTGGGGCACTGGAAGGCGGTGATGGACTCCACGGACTCGTTGGTGGTGCAGTGTGACACCAGGATGCGATGGGCGCAGTTGAAGCAGAGGCTGTGTGCACAGGGTAGCAGGAGAGGGTCCTCAAAGAGCTCCAGACAAATAGGGCAGGTCAGCTCCGACTCCAGTGTTTCCATCTTCAGGCAAAGCTCTCCTGGGTCATCAGCAAAATCCAAGGAAGCTGATCAGCTATCTGGAAACAGAACGTAAGATTTGATTAGGCACGAGGGGGTCAGCCATGGGGAGCTGTCAGCTTTGAATGCATCTCAGAATAATTTCAAACACAGGTCATGGAAGGGTAAATGTGTGTATATTCCAAATAATTCTCTTTCTATTCACTGGGGAAATAAGGAAGGGAAAAGCACCCTAAGCCAGCACACCAGCTAACGTTTTCTCAAAGTTCTAGTTACTGAAAGGAGCAAATTCTTTTCTTTTTTTGCAATTTGTTTTAAAAAGGTCTTACTCCAAATTGGCAAGTTACTGAAATTGTAATTTCCTTAATTTGTATCTAATCACAATAATCTTATTGTGTCACAGTCAAGTTTTACCTTACTTTGAAAATTAAAATGTAGAAACGTTAATTAATGAACTATAGAGTCTTTCATAACTTTGAATTTATGAACTTACATGTTAATGTATATGTGTTTTAAGGACTTTTTACTCTGCAATACCAAACCAGGCTTCTTCAGAGAAGTAGAAAGGCACTTATTACAGAAATGGGCATGAAATGTGTATGAAATCAAATGCATGATTTCAGCAGAAATGATAATGCTTAAATATGAGATGTCAACTTCCAAAATATACTCTTGAGAAAAAACATTGACTTACACAAAGATGATTGTGATAGAGGCCATGTTTTTGTTCCTCTTCTGAATAATTCTATTGTTTAATCCAGCAGTGGGACATGGGTGGGCAGAGAGAAGCAGAGAAAAATATCTGGGGGCCTTTTTAGTGGCTGTGGTGAGCTTGGGTACCAATGGCTAATGACGGTTTAGTTAGTTAGAACAGGGATTTTAGTAGCTACAATATTCATTTGATAAGTTATAACAATGGTAATGATTACAGTTCAGAAAGCGGTTTAAGGTAGTTGCATTACTCCGAGGAGACTTGCAAGAGCCACTGAAGGACCTTGCACAGCCCTCCTGGCCTAAAAACTCCCATCAAGGGCTTGTCAGTGTCGCCAGCGACAGGCCAGGCTGGCAGGAGGTCCAGCCTCACACTCAAAGCCGTGTTGGCCCGGGCACGACCTCCGCCAGCTTTGTTGCTCCCCTCCAGGCCGCCTTCGGGTGGCCCAGCTGCACACTCCCCTCGCCATGAAGACTTGCTGCTTTTGTGAACTCCTGCCTGCCTTCCCTTCAAAAAGGGTAGGGGAAAGAATCCCACATAAACTCCGGTTCATTAAGGGGGAAGAGGCCTCATGCTCATTAGCAGGCCTGGGAACCAAGCCTCTTTGAACCTTCTCCCTTTCAAGACCATTAGCAGAGGTCTGCAGAACAGTGACAGGCATGTTAGATGCAGCCCACTGCGGGCTGTGGGAGAACAGTGCAGTTCACCCAGTGGACGGAAGGTTCAAATCACCCTCCGGGGGGTCTTCTCAGCTGGATTTACGGGGAAGGTTTCACATCCAAAGCTATGTTTAGTGATTGCGACAATCAGCCTTTTTGTATTCACACCTGCATTTATTTACAAAATTCCCAATTTCTAGAACACCTTGACCCTTTCTGAAATAGCATCTCTCAGAAATACCATGCGGTACTTTGCTTAAACTAATGCTCATCTTGCTATTAAGTGAATGGTAACTGATCATTAAAAGTGTAAAGTATGTGCTGAGCCTGTTAAAAATTAAAGAGCTACTGGCTTCACAGAAGCCTAGTATCTTAAAAAAATCTTCAGCCATTCGCTAATATTAACTACATAAGAAAGAATAAATGGGCCGCTGAGATTTGCAAGATTAAAGCTCGCCCATCTTTCCACAACCTGCAATGGAAACCCCAGGGCTGCTGTTGTGAAAAGCTTATCATCCCCCCTTGGTCCCAGCCAACTCTTCCCACAGGTGGCTTGGAAGAAATTGAAAGGTTTTACCTATTAATCATTATTTTGGTTAATCATGGAAAAACAGAATTATCTCTAAATCAAATTTCTTCTCTCTTCCCATCAGAAGAATGTAAATTAAAGGGAAAATGTAGCCATTTCGGGCTGCTTTGTTCTCAGGCAAAACAAGGAGAAGACCTATCGATGTATCTCAACAGAGGGATGAGTGTCAATTACGCTTGGAGAGCTGTGATGATTCTATTTTTATGCAGGTGCCAGGATTCCATCCCAGGGTGGTGCAATCAGAATTGCTAGAGGTGATTCCATTGCTGACCTCAATGGAAATGCTGACATTTTATTCAAGAGACATTTACTGAATGCCAGGCACTGAGCTGGCTCGAAAAGCCAGAATCTGGCAACCTCATCATGCCACCTCTATAATCATGGGTGAAGCCAACATCACGTCTTACCTGGATTATCACAAAAATTATCACAATACTTTTTTAAATGGTCTCCTGGCTTCTTCTCACTCTCATCTCCCCTCCCCACACATAGTCTATCTTCCACTCAGAAGCCAGAGATCCTGTTAAAACATGATGGAGCTTGCCTCTCCTCTGCTCTACCCTCCTGGGGCTTCCCATCTCACTCAGAGAGAAATTCACTAGAACAAAACCAGCCCCAGAAAACACAGACTCAGACAGTGACCTCATTTCCTCCCACGCCACCCCTTGTTCTGCTCTGGGCACACAGCCTCCTTGTGATCCCTCAAACACGCCAAACACGTCCCATCTCCTTCTCTTAAGGTCTTTGGAATCCACATGACTCTGCTCTAGTGTCACCTTCTTTGTGAACCCGCAAAAAACCAATTCTCCTGCTACCACCACGACCACCCACCCATCCATCGTAGCAATCCCTCTTCCCCCATTTCAGTGTCTTTCTCCATAACATTTATCACCGACATAGTCTATTAGTTTGCCCGTTGCTCCATCTCTCCCCACTGCCCCACCACTAGAATATAAGTTCTATGAGAGCAGAGACTTTGCTTTGTTCTTTGAGGGATGTACCACCAGCGCCTGGAACAGTGCCTTGCACACACAGTAGGACTCAGACATTTGTTGAGTTAATAAATGTACTGATGTTGCGGTTGAAACCAAAAAGAATAAAACATAACCACTGCCTTCAAGGATCTCTCAATAGATTAGAAGAGAGGTCAGCAAATTTTTTCCATAAAGGGCAAGACAGTAAATATTTTTGGCATTGCAGGCCGTACAGTCTCTGTTGCAACTACTCAACTCCATCGTAGCCACGCGAAAGCAGTCCTACACACTACATAAATAAATGAGTGTGGCTGTCCAGTAAAATTAGCTTTACAGAAACAAGTAGCACACTGAATTTGGCCTGTGGATCTTAATTTGCTGACCCACGTATTAGAAGAGAGAGACACGTACAGCTAGCTAAAATGTAAATGAAAATCCCTCTCAGAGAGGTATGAATAAACTGCGGTGCGGGCAACAACAGCAACAATGGTGGAGTAAGACTGAGACAAGCACGGACAAGTTTTGAGTGCTAACGGGAAATGATATGCCCTGGGATTTCACCCTGACTTCAATGGAAATGATGTGAGTCGAGTGCTTAGGGGCAATTCATGTAAGAATGATTTAACAACAGCTGCTCAGACTGGATCTTTTTCTTCTATTGCCATGGTGCTTGGTGTGGTGCTTCGTGCAAGTGTCGATGCTGTAAACATTGGTTAATTGTATTAAGTGATGACAAAACATCTAAATGCAAAGTGATGTTCAGCCAATTTTCCGAATCTTTTGACAGTATGCTGCCAAAAAGGAAGGGGGTTTTGATTTCATATCTATAGTGGATTCCATTTTTTCTACTTTTATCCAGATTTTTGCCATGGTACAGGTAACATTTTTGTTAAATGACTCAACAAGATGTTACTAGTAAGCATGCACGCCATTTCTTCACCTAAAAAAAAATTAGCATGGTTTACTTTTTAGCTTTCTTTTAAATATCTATTTTGCGAAATGAAAGTACCATTCATTCTTTCATCAAATATTGAAGTCCCTCTAGATTCTCGGTCCTGGAACAACTAATAGTAACACCTGGCCCGTCTCAGTGATCTTATGATCCATCAGGGGAGAGAAAATATGAACAAACTGCTATGCAACAGAAGACAAAAGACACACGCCGAGGGTTGGGGGAGAAGATGGGGAAGCTTCCCGAAGGAGGCAATGTGCGAGGTGGGTTTTAGAAGATGAACAGGCGTTTGTCAAGCAGATAGAGGTGGGGGGGGGGGGAGAGATTTTGTGCAAAATGTTATCTTTTGTCTTTCTTTTCTTTACTCCCATAATTTAATTTCTAGGCCTCAAAAAAAAAAAAAAGCGCTTCTTAGCCTTCACTACAATGGAAGGAAATCACATGTGCATATCATTGTCAGAAAATTCTATAGCTCTACATTTTTCTGAATGGACTGATTGGTCCTCATTCAGAGGAGGATGTGGGTAATCATGGGAACCCCTTACAACAACTGGGAATGGCAACAATCCACAGCTCATGCCTCTGCTTGTCCACGGTTTGTAGTCTAGAACAGAACACTGAAAATAGTGAGTGGAAGGGGAGAGTTGGATGGGTGGCCAGACAATCTAGGACCATCCGAAGCTCGGCTGCTTATTATCTGTGTGTCCCTGGGTGAGCGTCCACAGATGTTCCTTCCAATTCCTTCTAGCACTCACTCTAATCACATCCCTAAGCAGGCTGAGTCTATAGTCACGGGTTGCAGTTAAACCCTGCATCCTGGGACGCACTGGATGCAAGCCATCTTTTCAAGAAGATTTCTTACAGATTCAAGGCTTCTGAGGAAAGCACCACTTTAAAATGGAAAATTAATAAATGGATATTTTGGTGGAAATGATGATGTAAATGTTTTCCCACCTCTCCCTTCCTCCTTTCCCTCCCTCTCTCATTCTGTGTGTCACTGAAACTGTGGTCTTCTGGTTTTCCTCTCTCTCTAACCACTGCTGACTTCTCCTTGCCACCAGCCTGCGTAATAGCTCATTTTAGAATTTCATAACTTTATTCCTTGTAGTCTCTCCTGACTTCTGCTATGACACAATGAAGATAACCTGCACCTTGAAGAAACACCTAGGATCT